ATCTCTGAAGAAGAATCCGCGACGGATCTCGAAACGTAAGGCGAACAAAAGTACTGTCCTAGCGATCGAGTCGTCTTCTTATCAATTACTTCCTGGGACCCGCACGTTCACTTGTATTGGCAGAAGGGTAAAAGCTATACTTTTTAGAGTCCCATCTGATTACTGAACCCAACAAATGGTAACCCTGCTTATAGGCCTTGACAGAAAATGAATTATTAGTATCATAGCTCTCAGCTCCTTGGCTGGTCCGACGCGCGGACAGGCAAATTACTTTCTTCGCTTGATCTGTTAGCAATAAACACTGCCGATTCTAGACTTTGATAAAATCAGGGATCATGATAAACCTCACCAAGTAAGCTCAGGTAACTAAAAAATAATACAGCAACATTTCTATTAAAATATTTCCTAAGTAGTCCGGTATAACATATTAACACATTGTCTACCTATACTTTCCCTAGTTTTCTTTAGAATACAGGGCTTTTGAGCAGTCTTTTGGTGGTAAACGGAACTCATACCACTGAATGATAGATCGTTAGAAAAGCCTGAATGCCTGTTAATTGAGAATATTTTAAAAAGACCCAATTTGTGAACCTCGCCACTGGGAAATAGCCTTTTGTGTGTGCCCACGAAAATTCAAACAATTGAAGTAATCGAATAAAAGGTATAGAGTAGGTAGCAAATAAACAGCAGCCTTGTTTCGCGCTCGTCCTGGTGGGTTTCATAAAAAGAATCTTTGTTAAAGGCATGTTATTTGGGACCTCTTAGCCCCTATTAACCCCCAGGATCGTTTAAAACGGAAATGGTGATAATCACAGTCTTGAGGGTTGGGTTTTACCTCCGACAAGCAGCCAAATGTATACTAGAAAACAGCAAAATAAGTAAATGTTTACCCAATTTATTCTTTTAGCCCTATCAATGGCACTGAAATTCAGCGCGATCGAAAAATCAAAAAGCAACTCTTCATAAGACAATAAAGTTGACTGAAAAGGGAGACAAAAATATGCTTTGTACATTTCGCTATATTAATGTTGTATTTAACAAGCCGAAAATTACTTTGCATAGCTATGAAACAATAAACTAAACCAGACTAGGCTATGTATTTTAAACCCATCCTTGCCGAAACCCTTGTGACCATTTATTGACCATATCGATAAGTACAAGGGAAAAAAGATTCAGCAGAGCCTTAAGAAGACAATCTTTACAGGTCGTGTCTTGGAAAGTCAATGCCGAACCAAGCTCCTAATGCTCCATAAAATTGCCTGCTTCAGGCGGGGAAGTTTGCTTGAAGATACGCTGTGCCTTTTTTCCCCAATAGATATCTCACAGGATAGCCATTGGCTGTTACTACATATTTTTCTTATTAATTTTGCCAAACGCTGCATTCTTGGCATTTTGTGCAGCGTTCTGCCAACCCCCGGATTTGGGTTTTGTTTTTTGCCTAAATGGGTTTTTTTTT